GAAACACCCTGGGATTTTTAATGACCACAGAGAGTCAGGACCTCGGTTTTACGTCTCATCCGAAGGACGGTGCCTGTTTACAGTATAGTGTCACTATACTGGGGCATTAGGACCCACATGGACCGCAGGGTGAGCGCCCCCTGCTGGCCCCACTAGCACCTCTTTCACCAGCAGTACTGACCAGGCTCACACCTGCTGAGCTTCAGTGGGCTGCCAGTTGTGAGTTGCAGGGTGATATGGCTGCTGGTACAATAGGTAATGCGAGACCAGAAGGAAGCTGCTTCTGGAGAGCCACAGCTCTGCTGATTTATGGGCTTAAGGGTCATTGTGAGAGATCTGACAAGCATATAAACTCCTTCTATCTGAGAAACGAATTGATCCAACTGAAGCAAAAAACACAACACAGATCACCAGGATCAGCACTGGTGCTCCTCTGAGTTCGAAAATAAGAACATAAGACAGGTCACATACAGTAGGAGACAAGGCCATTCACCCTCCAGATTAATTTGATTTATGTTTGAAAGAAGCCAGGGCATCTACTGCAAGCTTGTCTACTTTACTAACTTCCAGAATCCAGTTCACTGAAATACAGTGTTTTAGGAAGAGTTATGGTCCTGGTACAGATCTCAGTGGCACTGCACTAGTTATATCGACATGTGTGCATGTATGTGTGTGTACAGGTGTGCATGGGCGTGTGTGTGCAAGTGTGTTTGCAGGCTTGCATGTGCGTGTGTACGGTATGTGTATAGGCATGTGTGTGAAGTGTGTCTTTGCAATGGAAGTGTGACCCTTGTCTCTAGGTCACCACGACACTTCTCCTCTCCCATAGAGGATAATGCCTGTTTTATAATTGGTTTTCGACACCAAGGCTGGTAGAAAAGGCATAATCAGGCCAAGAGAAACATAAAACCATTTAAGGCGAAGGGAAAGTTTTCAACATATTAACAAGCAATCAATTTTGTGTGCTGAGGGACTGTCACTGAGCGGTGAGCCATGATGCAGCAAGACACTGCAGGAGAACAGCACAACCAAGCAATCAGCACTCTGCTGCCTCGTCTCCTCGATCCATCACATCCCAAGTGAAGAGGGCACGTGCACTAACTCTGTGAGCACGGAAGATTTGATCTTCTTCATGTTTAACCCCGAATTATCGGTGTGTTGCAGCTGCAGTGGCTGAGAAGCCTGTCGCGAGGATTGCTAGACTGCTGGGAGATGGTGAGGCACCAGCACTAACACCTCTGCAGAACTATGTGAAGGATGAAAACCTGAACAGAGCAACTCCTGTCTCAGTGCTGCACACTTCTGCTGTGAGTAAATCATGATCATGTATCCTCAAGTGTCAAGAACATCACCATTGTATTTTGATTATAATCTGAGAGTGCAGAAGTACTTTTTATTTTGGAATCACCATTTACTGACCTACCCAATCTGGAATCACTAGTTGTAAGTTTTTCACAGCTCACAGCTATGAATCCTGGAACTGCACACCAGGGAGAATC